AACTAGAAACAAAAATACCAAACATTCAATAAGTTATGTATAGTGGGAAGGAGAGACTATCATAATTAGTTGATTAATCATTGTCAGCCTCTTGTCGTGTGCTGATACATGAGTAAATCATGTTCAGAGTATTGATTGCATCCAAGCTAGAATTCCTTTGAGGCTGTCATCTGAAGGACACTGTGACCACAGAGGTCCACCTCAAGTTACTGCCTTTTGCAAAGTGATAATGGGGTGCACAGCCATGTGTAATTTAAGCTTATCTTCCTACAGGCAGTGGGTGGTTATGGTCACACTGCTGAAGCTGTATTGCTTTCAGCTTTAATGGGAACCTTTATTGAAACAGAAACCTAATACCATCTAGGTTAATAATATGCCCACTTAATCTTCCTTTCCAGAACTTGCCTGATCTTTAAACTTTCTGAGGGGAGACTGGCAGTGATTCTTCATTGCAGATAGGTATCTCATCAGATAAAGAAGGGTTGGGAAAAACATTTTTATTCAGAATCAGCTTGATTGCTTTTTTCATAGTGAAAGTGCAGTAGTTCTCTCTTATCTCTGAATGCAGTGCTGATAAAATCAGGGTGTGTTCGTTTCCCAGAAGGAAATTCAGGAGTGGGATGAGCTTATATTCAGGTATTGAACCAGGACTACAGCTATTCATTCCATCTCTGTTCTTTTCATCAGGGCTCCCCCTAGGTGATTAATGTCTATGAAGATAAAGTATGAGGGCTGAAGGGGAGTCCTGGGAATATGACCAACTGGATGCAACTTTAATCTTTCCTACTCTCAAACCCTAAATTTCTTCCTCTTGGGAGCCAAATAGCTGCTAACTCCTGTGGTTGGCTGGGTGTGAGTGAAGCTTTGGGCTTTGGTGGGTTCCAGGTAGAGAGAATTGTGAGGTTCCTTCTCCCAGGGGTCTAGGCAGGTGCCTGAGAATGATGTCAAAGGCCAGGAGGGAGGGATGGAGGGCAGCAAATACTGAGAAGAGTTGGGCTGCTGGGGATCAAGTCAACACAGGCCAAGTGGGCCTGCGCTGGGCTTCCCACCCCAAGAGGCTAAGGAGGAGCCGAATGGGGACTGGGTCCTCTGACCTGCAGCTGGGGCCATGTGAGCGGGCCGTGTGAGGAGTCTGCAGGGAGGGGATTTCCCACAGCTTCTATAAGTCAGCCAGCGGGACTGAGAGGGCTTTACCTTCTGTCATCTGTGGGGCTCTCATCACTGGGGCTTGTGAACCTCCATGTCTAAGATGTAAAGAACCCACACAGAAAAACACCGTCTAACAGGGGCCAGCAGCCAGAGAGAAAAAGCGAAATGCATTCCCAGCAAGAAGACTCTGTGAGAGGAGTGTCTGAGTCAGGGAAGAGCAGGGATATGAGCTTCCATGACAAAATAGTAACTTTCGGTGAGTGGACAGAGAGAGAGAAAAAAGGAAGACTTCAAAGGCCTAAAGAAGGAAGATGGAAATTAAACTGCTCATCTTTAGCAGAGTGAGGGGTATCAGAAGAGAGATGAAGCATCTCTGTGGGGAAATGGTGCCAAATTGGTGAGGAAAATAAAACCTTTTTCATAGAAATGAATAAATAAAAATTTATATAAGAAGTAGTTAGGTTTCCAGGTCTCCTCTTTTGCCTCACACAAGAAGTGGGATCCCTTGGCCCAGGTCGTCTTCTGTGCCATCCCTCACAAAACACTAGCATTCATGCTTATCCCTCTCATATATGTGCGTGTGTGTTTGTGTGTGTATAGATAGATAGATAGATAGATAGATAGATAGATAGATAGATTCTTTTCCATTATAGGTTGTTACAAGATATTGAATATAGTTTCCTGTGCTGTACATTAAATACTTGTTGTTTATCTGTTTTAGATATAATAGGGTATAGAGGGCTTTACCTTCTGTCATCTGTGGGGCTCTCATCACTGGGGCTTGTGAACCTCCATGTCTAAGATGTAAAGAACCCACACAGAAAAACACCGTCTAACAGGGGCCAGCAGCCAGAGAGAAAAAGCGAAATGCATTCCCAGCAAGAAGACTCTGTGAGAGGAGTGTCTGAGTCAGGGAAGAGCAGGGATATGAGCTTCCATGACAAAATAGCAACTTTCGGTGAGTGGACAGAGAGAGAGAAAAAAGTAAGACTTCAAAGGCCTAAAGAAAGAAGATGGAAATTAAACTCATCTTTAGCAGAGTGAGGGGTATCAGAAGAGAGATGAAGCATCTCTGTGGGGAAATGGTGCCAAATTGGTGAGGAAAATAAAACCTTTTTCATAGAAATGAATAAATAAAAATTTATATAAGAAGTAGTTAGGTTTCCAGGTCTCCTCTTTTGCCTCACACAAGAAGTGGGATCCCTTGGCCCAGGTCGTCTTCTGTGCCATCCCTCACAAAACACTAGCATTCATGCTTATCCCTCTCATATATGTGCGTGTGTGTTTGTGTGTGTATAGATAGATAGATAGATAGATAGATAGATAGATAGATAGATTCTTTTCCATTATAGGTTGTTACAAGATATTGAATATAGTTTCCTGTGCTGTACATTAAATACTTGTTGTTTATCTGTTTTAGATATAATAGGGTATATCCGTTAATCCCAGATTCCTAATTCATCCCACCCCCTTGGCTCCCTTTGGTAACCATAAATTTGTTGTTTTTTTTTAATGTATCTAGTGCTCCACTTTTAAATACAAGCAAACAATCAAGGGTCACCAGATCTGTGAGAAAATCTAATATGAAAGGCAGAGACCAAAAAGAAAGAAATTTGGAAAAGAAGAGAAAAAAGTATAGGTGACAGAAGAAAACTTAAAAAGCCCTCAGTATCTCTGTAGAGAAAAGGTATTGTATTCAAGAAACAAAAGAAGCAATTAAAAAGTAACATTTAGAGGCCAATTTATAGATATACATTTTTTTGTTGAAGTATAGTTGATTTATAATATTGTGTTACTTTCTGCTCTATAGCAAAGTGGTTCGTTCTTTTTCTTAAATATTCTTTTCCATTATGGTTTATCACAGGATACTGAAAATAGTTCTCTGAGCTATACAGTAGGACCTTGTTGTTTATCCATTCCATAAATAATAGCTTACATCTGCTAACTTCAACGATCCACTCCATCCTTCTCCCTTGGCCATCACAAGTCTGTTCTAATAGAGATATAGTTTTAATTGGAGATTAAAAATAGGATAGCAAAAGGGAATAATTCAAGAGAAGAATTAGAGGAAATGTTTTCAATATTAGCAAACAGAAATACAGGATTCTCAGTTTAATTTGAATTTCAGATTCAAACTTTATTTTTTTTAGTATAAATATGTCCCATGCAATGCTTAGTTTGTCTGAAATTAAAATTTACCTGCGTATCTTATACTTTATCTAGTTACCCCAGTTGGAAGGCAAATTTGATGAAATCTCCAAGAAAATATAACCAGAGAGAGAGAGGAGATAATAGATTCAAAGATCAGTTGAGGAAATCCAATATTTGAATGATAACGAAGTTCCATAAATAGAGAACAGAAACAGAGCAAATAAATTATCAAAGAAAGTTCACTGAACGGATTAAGAGAGTCCACCCAGGGCCAAGCACAAGAATGAAAAATCTCCGACGAAATGCATCATTGTGAAATTGCACAGCACTTAGGATAAAGCCATGAAAAAGATCAAGCCACATACAGAGAATCAGGAATGAAAATGGCAAAAATTTTCTGCAGAAAACCATGGAGTAATGCCTTCTGAATTCCCAGAGAAATCTTATCTCGGGTCTATAATTCTACACCCCAGCTAAATAGATCATCAGTTTTGAAGACAGAATAAGATTTTTTTTTTTTCTGGAATCTTTAAAAACAGCTTAACTTCTATGCATCCCTTCTTCAATACATATATAAAGCCATTGGAGGATGTGCTCCATTAAAATGTGAGAGTTAAGCAAGAAAGAAGCTGAAGACCCCAGAAGAGAGAGGCAGGCAATCCCTAAAACGATAAAAGAAGCTAACCTTAGGAAGATAGCTGAACATAGATTTTTATATATATATATATATATATACATATGTATATATATATATGTATATATTCTTGTTCAGATTCTTTTCCATTATACGATATTGACTATATCTTATAGTCATTAGATTATTAGATTATAATAGATTTATATATATATATTCTTGTTCAGATTCTTTTCCATGATAAGATATTGACTATGTCTTATAGTCATTAGATTATTAGATTATAATCATAAGTCATTATAGTCTTTTAGTTATTATAAGACATTGACTGTAGTTCGCTGTGCTCCACTATAGGTCCTTGTGGTTTCTCTATTTTTTTTTTCATTTATTTTTATTAGTTGGAGGCTAATTACTTCACAACATTTCATTACTCAGCCGTTAAAAAGAATTCATTTGAATCAGTTCTAATGAGATGGTTTCTCTATTTTATATGTAGTAGTTTGCATCTGCTAATCCCAAATCCCCTAATTAATCCCTCTCCCCTCCTTTCCACTTTGGTGACCATAAGTTTGTTTTTCTATATCTGTGAGTCTATTTTTATTTTGTAAAATAGTTCATTGATAGCATTTTTGGGGGGATCCACCTATAAATGATATATTTGTCTTTCTCTGTCTGACTTATTCACTTAGTATGATAATCTCTAGGTCCATCCATGTCACTGCAAATGGCATTATCTCATTCTTTTTATGGCTGAGTACTATGCCATTGTATGTATATAAAAATCACATCTTCTTTATCCATTCATCTATTGATGGACATTTAAGTCCTACAAATATTTTAAAATAAAATTTAACAGACATTCCTAATAAGGTAAATTAGAAAGAATAAAAATGATAAGATTTATAAAAATGATAAAATGTATTAAAGACTCCCAAAATGTAAGAACAAAGATCATCCTTAATGACAAAAGGAGAATGGTAGGTGATTTGGTCTTGAGCAGCTCCTACATAATAAAGAACTATTATTTGCCTGTGAAATTAAGAATTTTAAACTATGTATTTCCTAGAATCCCCAGAATGTGAAGGACTATCTGCATTAGAAGCACTTGTTTTAGCATCCCAGGAGTCTACATTTCAAACAAGAGCCCCAGGTAAGTCTTTTTTGGATTATTAACTTAAAAAAAAATTTTTTTTTTTTGCTTTTAAAAAAGTTTTATTGAGATATTTTACATATATAGAATTTGCCCATTTAAAGTGTACAATTCAATGAACTTTAGTATATTCACAAATTTATATAATCATCTACTGTAATCTAATGTTAGAACATCTCCATTACTCCTGAAATAAATTTGTCAATCACAGTCTCTCAATTCATCCCACCCTACCCCTTTCCCCCTTTGGTAACTGACCATACATTTGTTCTCCACATCTGTGTGTCTCTATTTCTGTTTTGCAAAGAAGATTATCTATACCACTTTTCATGGGTTTCCCAGGTGGCACCAGAAGTGAAAAATCCACCTGCCAATGTAGGAGATGCAGGAGATGTGGGTTGGATCCCTGGGTTGGGAAGATCATTGGAGAAGGGAATGGCTACCCACACCAGTATTCTTGTCTGGAAAATTCCATGGACAGAGGAGCCTGGTAGACTATCGTTCATGGGGTCACAAAGAGTTAGACATGACTGAACATACATGCACAATTACTACTTTTCTAGATTCAACACTTATTCATGATAAAAACTGTCCATCAATTAAGAATTTTTAAAAACTTTCTATATTTGATAAAGGCTGTTAAAACACTGTGAATCTAAATAGAACTATTAAGCACTTTAAAAAAAGAAATTTATGCCCATTAATCACTCCCTATTCCCACCTCTAGCCCTGCAGCTACTAACTTTCCTTTCCCCATATATTTCCCTTTTAGGATATTTCATATAAATAGAATCATACAATAGGTGTTACTTTGTGTCTGGCTTCTTTCACTGAACACACACCTGAGGCCATAGATCATCTTGGAGAACTGCTACTTAAGACAGCAGAAGTTACCAGAGGGTTCAAACTGAGAAGCAACAAAATCAGGTTTTCAAAGACCTCCTTCTTCCTCTTCTCCCAGTGAGTCCGCCCATCCCCATGGTGTTACAGCAGGGTCTCAGTCAGCACTCTAAGTCAACCACACCACACTTTTCCTATGGAAAAGCTGAGTCACATTGCCATTCAATGCCAGAAAACTTGTTGGCAGTGGCCTTGGTTCCTGGAGCATCAGTCTTCATCTAATTCACAGTAAACAGCAAGGTAACATCTTCCTGGGACAGGGAGAGAGAAAAAAATGCTGAGTCATGTCTGGGAATCTGAGCTGGTCTATCTTGGTTTTGAAAGTTTTGTTTCTTAAAATCCCAAAATAGCAAACCCGGAAGAGCTCTCAGAGGTGGTCAGTATCATTTTTACAAGTGCAACAGGAGTTCAGGGCAGGGGGAGTCCTCTGGGCGGGTCTCAGAGCTCAGTTGCAGCCGTTTTCATTCAGAATTGGGTGACACAGGAAATGGGCCATCTCTAGAGATCTGGGGAGCGACAACCCTAGAGAGCCACAGGGGAGCTCAGGAAACTGAAATAACAACGAAAACTAACCGTCTTTCTGATCATTTGGTTCCATGGAGAATAAAGGAAATGACCAAGGGACCTTAGTGAAGCCTTCCCCTGCCCTGGAAGACTATTTTAAACAGTGCTTCTGAAGCTTGGCCTGTGTCAAATGACCTGGAGGCTTGGTACACCCTGATCCCTGAGCCCCATCCCAGAGTTTCTGATTTAACAGATCCGGGAGCAGCTGGAGATTTGGCATCTCTAATAAGTTCCCATGAGTTTCTGAGACTTCAGGAATGACTGCCCTATAAGTAGGCAAAATCAATCCGCTCAGCAACCCTTTTTTTTCTTTTTTGACTTTATGCCCCTACTGAAAGGGAAAACTAGGGATGTCGATGGGCTGCAGGTTGGGGTCACACTCAGAGGTCTGTGGGGCTGTAATAAAACACTCCTCTCGAGGCCAAGGAACAGACTTGGGCCTACTTGAACCTAGGCACTTATTTACATCAATCAAACCACAAATATCTGATGGGTGACTATCATAATTATAGCTACCATTTATTAAGCACTATATTTACATCAGGTACTCCATAGACATTTAATCTTCACAGCAGCCCTATGGCCCCCTCCACACTGACCTTGCCAGGCATATCCTAGGGCCCCAGGGCCTTGACACAGGCCAGTTCCTTGACCTGAAATGTGTTTTTCTCACATAGTTCTCTCCTCTGTCCTTTCAGGTCTTTATTACAAACAGCATCTTGTCAGAGAGGCCTTCCTTGGACACCGCTTCTAGAATCTCACCTCCCACTTCTGCCCCCCAACTTCCATCTCCCCCTTCACCGCCTTATTTTCTCTCTTGAGCAGTCATCACTAATGTTCTATATAGTTGGCTTGTTTGTTTATTGTCTGCTTCCCTCATTAGCACATACGCACCAGGGCAGGGATTGTGTCACTGCTGTGTCCTCAGGGCCAGAACTATCTGGAACATAGTTAACAGTCCATGCATACCTGTAAAATGAACCAATGAAACCTTCAGAGCGCCACGCCTTACTTTGTAGGGACGTGCAGAATATGGTAATGTGATGATTAGAGCCTGTCAATTAAAAAGCTTTTGTATGTGCGGAATTGCTTTAGTTGTGTCTGACTCTACAACCTTATGGCCAGAAGCCTGCCAGGCTCCTCAGTCCATGAGATTCTCCAGGCAAGAATACTGGAGTGGATTGCCATGCCCTCCTCCAGGGGATCTTCCTGACCCAGGGATCAAACCCATGCCTCTGACATCTCCTGCATTGGCAGCAGGTTCTTTACCACTAGTGCCACCTGCGAAGCCCCCAAAAGCCTTCACACTGGCATTATTTCATTGGTTTTGTTTAAAGGCAAGGGAGGAAAGTAAGTAGAAATTAGAACAGAGAGGATGGGTGCTGGGGTTATGGGTGGGAGACGCTGGGCAGAGTGGAAGCATGGGCAGTGACATCACTCACTTTGGCACTGAGGGGAGCTGCCCCTCATGTCTCCTGCCCGGGGTGGGGCTCTGAGTGGGTGGGTGTCTCCCCAGGGCTCCTAATTGGGGCAGAACACAGCTGCTGCAGTCAGCAAGCATGCAACACCCTGTCCAAGCCAGTTGCTGAAAAGCAGGATTGGTTTCTGAAGTGACAAAGCAGGGTTAGTTGAAAAGAGTAGCTTGCAAATAGCCCAGTCAGCTGACACTGGACGGGACCAGAACTAGGTTTTCACCCAGAAGTGGCAGCTGGCACAGCAACCCAATGGCAGGAGAGACACAGGGTCAGAGAGAGGTTGGCCGGGAGCCAGCAACCAGACACCTGAGGCAGAAGGAAGAATCTAGACCTATGATTTAGCTGCATAAACAGACTGATTGGAAACACTCTCTGATAGCACCCAGGCCCTGTGGAAAATATGAAACATTTCCTCGCTTGGCACCTGTCTCTAAAGGACAGGCTGCAGCGTTACTTTGTTACTTTGTAACAAAGTATATATATTTTATATATTATATATATTACTTTGTAACAATATATAAATTCAATTCCTTAAGGAACTCAGGTCAGTATGGCTTGTCTCCTGTGTGAATGGAAAAAAAAGAAAAAAAGGTGGCTGAACGGTTGAGTTCACCGAGTTGTGCATACCAGCAGGTGCTCAGGTCATGCTCCATGGCACAGTGCCCCAAAGAAGAAAGAGGAAACAAATAAATAAAATAATGTGAAAGCCAAGAAACAGACTTCATCCACAGGGATCAACTGACCAACAACTAGATGCAGTTCAATTTAATTTCACATTCATGGTAGAAATCAGAGTGAAAGTCTTTCAATAAAAGCCAAAGTGTGATAGTTATGATCAGCTTCCCCAATGTTAAAAAGTCCTCAAATTGTCGAGGAGATGATTTGGCAAGTCTTATTTCAGGTCTCCATCAAGTGAATGTGGAGGGCCTACCATGGACCGCAAAAATGCTGCATGGGTTCCCCCATGACCAAGGGTGATGCCGAGATGTGGTAAGCAGAGGGAGGAACTGTGAGGCTAAGGGCTTGGTCTGGGGAAATGGAACTGTTGATAGAGGTTGTTTAATGAAGGGCTGCTGCTGCTAAGTCGCTTCAGTCGTGTCCGACTCTTAGAGACCCCATAGACTGCAGCCCACCAGGCTCCTCCATCCATGGGATTCTTCAGGCAAGAGTACTGGAGTGGGGTGCCATTGCCTTCAAGGTCAAATGTGCGGGGAATGCAATAGGTTAAACAGTTAAATGGATCTCTTTACAGGCTAACGTGCACTGCAAATCTACAAAAAGACCACAGTAGAGAGTGTTTCTCAAATATTTGACCCCAGAAATGTTTTTCCAGAGAACCTATATCAGACAAAAACTACTCTAAGCCTAGGTATCCCTCTGTACCTGTGCTTGGGAAGGAGGCTATGGGCTAAGTGTGCATTTATAACAAGATTCTATGAGACTAGTGGGAAAAGACTTGTTACGACTGTGTTAGTGAGTCCTTGAAATGGATATTAGGCTTCCTCAAACCTCTAAACCTCACTTGGGGCAAACAGTGAGCTGGAGTCGATGCCTGCCCCCGTGGGAGAACTCCGGCTAGGCCTTTTCCAGATACGCCTCACCGTGCGAGGCTTCAAATCAGACCTGCCGTGGGAGTCAGTTTTTTGTGGATTTTTAAAATGCTATTTGCAACTTACTATATTGATTTTATCAATCTCTAAAGGGTTGCAATTTGAAGAATACCAAATCCTATGTAAATTTATGTACATTAAAAGTCTTAAACCTCTCATTTCCATGCTAATCACCTCATGCTATGAAGTGGGCCAGGAAGGCCTTTGGTAGGTTTTTTCTTCAGGGTTTGAAAGTGAAAAGTATTGGTTGCAATCGTCCAACCCCACCCACNAAGTAATTAGCCTCCAACTAATAAAAATAAATGAAAAAAAAAAAAAGAAAAGTATTGGTTGCTCAGCCCTGTCTGACTCTTTGTGACCCCATGGACTGTAGCCCACCAAGGCTCCTGTGTCCATGGAATTCTCCAGGCAAGAATAGTGAAGCGGGTAGTCATTCCCTTCCTCAGGGGATCTTCCTGACCCAGGAATCAAACCCCAGTCTCCTGTACTGTGGGCAGATTCTTTACCTTCTGAATCACCAGGGAAGTCTTCCTTCAGAGGAGGTAGTACCAGATAACTTCATGCAATACAAGATCTTGACTAGGCACTGCTTTTGAAAAGAACAGGGAAAACTATGATTAAAACTGCTGTTAAAATGAAGCTTTCAAATTTTAAGTGTGATTCTGTGTTCTAAGCTCTAAACAGTTCACAGCTGTCCCCGATTAGTTCTATTGGATCACAGGTGAGAACAAGGTAAGAGTAAGGCTGAAGCCTCAGGCTGCACGGTGGCGTCAGGAGGCTCACGGGCAGACCTAGCGTGGGCAGCCTTACCTGAAGACACTCTTTCCTCCCTCTGCCTCATAATTCGTGTCCGAATGCCACTTCCTTGACACCAAACCAGGCTCAGTGTCTGAGGAAGAGTGGACCTAACCACCCTGACCTAACTGCAGACCTCAAATGGCCTCCTGCTGCCTGGAGAAAGGTAAGAAAGATTACTGATTTAAGTTTCTCTATCTATCTTAGTAGAAAGGCCTGAGCCTCGGGGGTCCTCCTGGACCTGCAGGATGTAGTTTCCCAGGGCCTCCTCCCCACCCTGTGGTGCTTAAAGTGTGCGTCCAACAAAAGTTTTTTAAAATTGATGGTTGAATGTGACATTTTGTGAAGTACTGGTTTTTCAAGCTTTAATTTGGAGGGGCCTAGAAAATATGTGTTCTCAGTTTTCCTTTTCTACTCTCTTCTGTTCTCGATTCATTTGATTTCCTTGAAAGTTTGGCTGCGGTATTCCCTAGCATTGTCCCTTGGAATAATATCTGTACTAAAAATCTTGTTGTTTGGAAAATTAAAAAGAAAACCAGAAGTGCAGGTAATGGGGACCTGAGGAACAACAAAACTACTGGGTGGTGGGGGCTGAGGAGAAGTGTTAGCAAAATAGTCAGAATAGCAAAATCCACTGTTATTTCAAGACTGAGAAAAAGTGGATTTTACTGTGTTAAATCAATTTAACTTTCCAAATGGTTATTGCTCCCCTAATGTTTGTAAAAACACATGAAATAAATGGAGACAGATTCACACAGAGTTGAAGAGTTTTCAAAAACTCTGAGTATACTTGTAAGGTCTGCTTCAGTTTTCCCAGTGTCGTGAACCTTATTTATTCTGTCTGCAGAAATGAGACGGTAAAGCATAAGGGTCAAAGGGGGAACACTGGCATTTATCCACAGTTGTTCCAGGTTTTCAGGTTTAAGGTGAATTGGCGGAATCACAGAGGCCTAGGAAGGAAGGTTAGACCAATGAAAGGATGGGCTTACTCTGAGGAATTTATTTGGTGGGAAGAGGAATTTGTGTTTTTAACCTGGGTCCTGAGATTAAAGCACAGATATGCTAAATCTAAGGGGAGTATCTTGGTTGATAGTTCATTCCTCAGGCCTGCTTAAAAAAAAAAAATCAAGGTAGATCCTTTAAGGAATACTTGTTTTGGTTTAAATAAATTTGTAACTGTCCCTCCATAACTGTAGGTTCTGCATTCAAGAATTCAACTGGTTGGGGATAAAAAAATATTTGGGGGTTAATAAACAAGGCTATATTACATAGTAGAGGGAATTACAGCCATTATTTTATAATAAGTTTAATAGGTTATAATCTGTAAAAACACTGAATCTCTATGTTATACACCTGAAACTAACATAATTTTTAAATAAACTATGCTTCAATAAGATTATGTCAATTGTAATTATTCTAATTCCTCAAATTCTTTAATCAATAAAAATGACTTTTAATGATGAAAAAAAATATATTTGGGAAAAATACATTGAATAGAAGTGGTGAGAGGGGGGATCCTTGTTTTCTTCCTGAAGTTAGCAGGGAGGCTTTCAGCTGTTCACTGTTGAGTATTATGTTCTCTGTAGGTTTGTCATCATGAATGGCTTTTATGTTGAAATCTGCTCCCTCTATACCCACTTTGGTGAGAGTTGTTTTTTATCATGGCTGGATGTTGAATTTTATCAAATGCTTTTTCTGTGTCTGTTGAGATGATTGTGTGTCTTGTCTTTCCTTTTGTTAGTGTGGTGTGCCACACTGGTTGATTTGCATCTGTTGAACCATCCTTGTGACCCTGGGATGAATCTAACTTGATCCTTGTATATGATCCATTTTATGTATTGCTGGATTCAGTTTGCTAATATTTTGTTGAGGATTTTATGTCTATATTCATCAGAGATACTTGCCTGTAATTGTCTTTTTTTTTTTTTTTAAATAGCGTCTTTATCTGGTTTTGGTACCAGGGTAATGATGGTCTCAGAGAATGAACTTGGGAATATTCCCTCCTCTTCAGTCCTTTGGAATAGTCTGAGAAGGATTGGTATAAGTTCTCTTTTGTATGTGTAGTAGAATTCCCCAATGAAGCCATCTGGTCCTTCCTGGTTTTATTTGCAGGAAGTTTTTGTTTTGTTTTTAACAGATTTACTTCTAGTGATCAGCCTGTTCAAATTATCTATTTATTCTTGACATAATTTTGGCAGGCTGTGTGTTTCTAGAAACCTGTCCATTTCTTCTAGATTGTCCAATTCGTTGCTCATGTAACTCAGTATAAAAATTAAAAAGTGGGCAGAAGACCTAAATTAGACATTTCTCCAAAGAAGACACACAGATGGCCAACATAAAAGATGCTCGACGTTGCTAATTCTTAGAGAAATGCAAATCAAAACCACAATGAGGTATTACATCATGCTGGTCAGAATGGCTACCATCAAAAAGTCTAAAACAGTAAATTTGGAGAGGATGTGGAGAAAGGGAACCCTGTGCCCTGCTGGTGGGAATGTAAGTTGGTGCAGACACTATGGAAAAACAGTATGGAGGTTCCTTAAACTACAAATAGAGCTATCATCTGATCCTGGGCACATATCTGGAAAAGAGGAAAGCTCTCAATTGAAAAAACACATTCACTTCAGTGTTCATAGCAGGAGTATTTACAATAGCTAAGACATGGGGAAAAACCCAAGTGCCTCTAAATGTATGATTAGTTTAAGAAAATGTAGTTCATATATACAATGGAATATTACTAAATATTGCATTTGCAATATGAATGGACCTAGAGATTATCATACTAGGTGAAGTAAGTCAGACAAAGACAAATATCATACAGTATCACTTATGTGAAATCTCAGAAAGAATACAAATGAATCTATATACAAAACAGAAACAGACTCACAGACACAGAAAGCAAGCTTTTTGATCACCAAAGGAGAAAGGGAGGTGGGGGAGCAATAAACTAGAAGTACGGGATTAACAGAGATAAACTACTACACATAAAATAGATGAGCAACAGGAGTTTACTGTATAGCACCAGGATATATATTTAACATCTTATAATAACCTATTGCATAATGCAAAATAATCTGGAAAAGAATTATATATATGTATAGAGCTGAATCACTTTGCTGTACGACTGGTACTAACAATACTGTAAATCAACTGTACTTCTATTAAAAAATATTTGGGGATAGGCAAATCCATAAAGTAGAAGAGAGGTTTACTGAGGTTGAGGGGAGGAGGGAATGGGGAGTTACTGTGTAATGGGTACAGAATTTGTTTGGAATGATGACAAAGTTCTGGAAATAGATAAAGGTGATAGTTGCTCAACACTGTGAATGTATTTAGTACCATTGAATTGTACAGTAAAAAAATGATTAAAATGGTAAATTCTGTGCTGTGCATATTTTACCACAATAAAAAAGGAAAAAAAATACTCTGGCAAAAAAATTCCAGAAAGTTTCAAAAAAGTAAAACTTGAATTTGTCATGCTCTGGCAACTATGTATGTAACATTTACATTGTATTAGGTATTATAAGTAATCTAAAGATGAGTTGAAGTGTATGAGAAGATGTGCACAGGTTATATGTACATACTACACCATTTTATGTAAAGGACTTTAGCATCCATGGGATTCTGGTATCTGCAGGGATTCCAGAGCCATTCCCCATGTATACCAAAGAACAATTGTGCTAAATTGAGTGTGATTCTCTCAAATTTGCACAAATCAGATCCAAAAATATTCTAGATTGTTTTTGACAACAACCCCAAAGAGGGAATTCTTGATAATAGCCCTGAAGAGGGAGCTGTATCTGTATGTCTAAACAACCTCCTACCTTCCTCAGTTTGTGATCAAAGCATGAGGCACAAAAAAATAAGGCCAAGCAGAAAAGCAGCTGAGAGATGAACTGGTGCTTTGTGGTGTTCCTGGCTGTTGGGGTGCAAGCCTTCTTCCTAGTCATCTCTCAAGAAGCACGCCCACGGACAGTGGACTGTTCTTTGAGAGATGCAAACCGTGGACAACAGTCCATCCTTGCTCCTGTTAAGTAGGTAGACCACCAGGCAGCAGCAGAATTTCTAAGGTGCAGGTTGGCAGGTCCAGGAGTCCTTCAAGCCACAGTGTCTGTGGCCTTTGCCTAAAGTTGCATAAGGGCCGATCCCAAGCAGAGTGGAAGGGAGAGTCCAGGACGGCATCCTGACCAGGAAGGGAGAGTCAAACAAAACCCGCCAAATGGCACATGACCTTCCCATGTGACCACATGACCTTCCCAGCTTCCCATGACTGACCCACAACTTAGGTCCATGCACCACTTGAACTGCTGTTAAAGCTTATTCCTTTATCCAAAATCCTCCTGAAATTTTTTTCACATTTTTAAGTGTCTTGTGGAGCTTAACCAGATTCTCCTATGGCGATTTAAAATAGAAAGCATTTCAGAAGAATACACAAATAGAATAAACCTCTTGATTTGGGCGGGGGT